AATGTGTAAACCATTGGGACGCTCTGAGGCCTCATGGAACAGGCTGGATCCAGGGTCCAAATCCATCAAGGTGAGGTTTAACAAGTCCAAGTGCTGGGTCCTGCACTTTGACCACAACAATCCCTGCAGCGCTACAGGCTGAGGACAGAGTTGCTGGACAGCAGCCAGGCAGAAAGAGACCTGCAGGGACTGATGGACAGCAGGTTGGACAGGAGGCAGCAGTGTGCCCAGGTGGCCAAGAAGGCCAATGGCTCCTGTCCTGGATGAGGAATGGTGTGGCCTCCAGGAGCAGAGCTGCTGTGCCAGCACTGATCTGCCCCCTGCTCTGCACACAGACATTGCTGCTGCAGCTCCAGAGAAGGCAGCCAAAGTGCATCTCTGCAGAAAACTTTGCTGGGAGATCCTTTAGTTCCTTTAATGCCACTGAGAGCGCAACCACTCATTGACATAGTCTTGGACCACAGGGAAGGCGGAGAGAAACAAAATGAGAAATGGCACAAACAATGACATTTCTATGTGGACAAGATAAAAAAATTAAAATAAAGGGAACCCCTCCCTCCACAATTAAACAAACAAGAAGTATCAAAGATGACTTTTATTACAAGTGATTTTCAGAAATTTGGCAGCAGTTTAATGTTTCTGAAAGCATCCAGCCATTAGTGTCCTCACAGCAGCCTTGAGCTCCTGATTCCTCAGGCTGTAGATGAGGGGGTTCAGGGCTGGAGTCACCACCGAGTACAGAACTGACAGGGCCAGATCCGGGGATGGGGAGGACATGGAGGGGGGCTTCAGGTAGGCAAAAAAGCCAGTGCTGATGAACAGGGAGACCACAGCCAGGTGAGGGAGGCAGGTGGAAAAGGCTTTGTGCCGTCCCTGCTCAGAGGGGATCCTCAGCACAGCCCTGAAGATCTCCACATAGGAGAAAATAATAAACACAAAACAACCAAAATTTAAACACACACTAACAGCAAGAAGCCCCAGTTCCCTGAGGTTGGAGTGTGAGCAGGAGAGCTTGAGGATCTGTGGGATTTCACAGAAGAACTGGCCCAGGGCATTGCCATGGCACAGGGGCAGGGAAAATGTATTGGCTGTGTGCATGAGAGCAGTTAGAAAGGCACTGGCCCAGGCAGCTGCTGCCATGTGGGCACAAGCTCTGCTGCCCAGGAGGGTCCCGTAGTGCAGGGGTTTGCAGATGGACACGTAGCGGTCGTAGCACATGATGGTCAGAAGGTAAAAATCTGCTGAAATGAAAAACATAAAGAAAAATACCTGAGCAGCACATCCTGAGTAGGAGATATCCCTGGCGTCCCAGAGGAAATTGTGCATGGCTTTGGGGACAGTGGTGCAGATGGAGCCCAGGTCAGTGAGGGCCAGGTTGAGCAGGAAGAAGAACATGGGCGTGTGCAGGTGGTGGCCGCAGGCTATGGCGCTGATGATGAGGCCGTTGCCCAGGAGGGCAGCCAGGGAGATGCCAAGCAAGAGGCAGAAGTGCAGGAGCTGCAGCTGCCGCGTGTCTGCCAATGCCAGCAGGAGGAAGTGGCTGATGGAGCTGCTGTTGGACATTTGCTGTGCCTTGGCATGGGGATCTGTAAGAAAAGCAATCATGGAATAGGTTGTAGGAGGACACAGTATGGGTAATGTAGAATGTAATCTCTTCCCCCAACAAGTTGCAGCTGCACCCTACTACTAAAGATGAGAAACAGGCTGGATGATAACAGGCAACACCTGTAACCAATAAGAACTAGTGGTATAAAAGAGAAGTGACTGGAGTCCGATGGTTGCTGCAAGGACCAAGAACAGTCAGTGCTTAGAGGAGGTATGAAACTCTGAGGGTATGAAATCCTTGCACAATAATGATAAGAGAACTCTTGATATACAAGACAATGTAAGACAACAGAACTCTTAATCTCTGAGACAACATATAATGATAATTGAACTGTTGTAATATATAAGACAACAATAGGTGGGTTTGGAGAGGACTTGAAATATCCCAGCACAGCCTTGGGGGAACTTTCCCCCCTTCTGCCTGCCCAGGGCTCTGCTGCCTGGAGCTGTCCATGCCAGCAGCTGCTTCCCTGTGCCCAGAGCTGGGCCCTGCCAGTGCTGCCAGGGCCCAGCCCAGCCCTGGGGGCTCAGCTCTGCCCTGCAGACCCCTCCCACCTCTGGCACTGCCCAGGAGCAGCTCTGGCTCTGCAGGCTCCGATGGTAATGTCAGAGTGACCCTGAGGAGGCAGAAAAAGTGACACTGATGCAGCCTCTAGGGGGTCCTGTGTTGATTGCTGTTGCTGCCTGGTTTACTCAGATTGGGAGATTATTTTTATATTTCACAACCTGAAATGAGAGATGAATATGTATGTTCAATTTCTAACTCAGAGCAGTAGATAAAAAAGCAGGATTTTCCCTTTTATGCAGCCCCTGTTTCAATATGCTCCCTGTGTAATCTAGTTGGAAGTGCTGTGGCCTTAAATGCCATCCTTGAAGCAGTCCTGAACAATGCAGCATCCTCACCACACAAGGAGAACACGTCCAAGCCTTACCAGCTGTCTCCTCCCACCCAGATCTTGTCCCCCAGTGCCAGGAGCAGCTGCCAGGGCTGGCTGAGAGCAGTCCCTGGCAGGCAGCAGAATCTCTGTCCCAGCACAGCACCCTGGGCTGCAGGACCCTGCTCTGCAGGACAGCCCTGGGCACCCCTGGCTGCTCTGCACAAGAGACAATCAGAGAATGTACTCACAGGGTCTGTAGGCATTGGGATGTTCCAGCTTTAGGACATGGCTCCAGGTGCTGCAGCTGCATTGTCCTGCAGCCAGAGGTTCCTGTGCCAGGGGCTGGCAGCGATTCTGCCCCAGGCACTTCTCAGCACCTTCCCAGCCCTGACTGATTGAAGCTCTCTCTGCCTCTGTGCTGTGCCTGGGGTGGCTGCAGGCAGTGCCCCAGCCCTGCTGGGCTGGCAGAAGAGCTGCTCATCAAGAGAAATGTGCTTTTGAAGCTCTTCTTGGTTACCGGGAGCTGCCTCTGTGCCAGGAGCCCAGCCCAGCTCAGCAGCACAGACACAGCACAAGGACTGTAATGAGCCTGTGGGGCTTTGTGCTCAGGCCCTGAACATCAGTCCCTGAGAGGGAGCTGAAGAAACCTCTCCAGAACTCCAAGTCAGAACCCAACTCCAAAGTTTCTTGGACTTGTAATGGGTCCCAGTGAGGGACACAACTGAAAAAGTGTCCCCAGGTCCCAAGCAGAGCAGAGAACTGGAGGCAGTGATGACAGGTGGGGAAAAAGAGAAGCCAAGTCTTGGTGCCCTGGGGCACAGCAGGGTCTGTGCCACCAAGGGCTGTGAGGAGACACCTTGTCCTGAGGCCCTGGGGCCTCCTGGCACAGCCCCAGCCAGGCTGGGCACTGGCAGCCCCTTGTCCTGCCCTCAGCATCCCCCCCTTAGCCCACATCCCAGTGGCCTCAAGGATCTGCTGGAAGGAGTCCCTGGGGAGCCTTGCTCAGGAATGGCTCCGGGGGCTCCTTAATGCTCCCTGCAGGGACTGCAGGTTTTTCAAAGGACTTTGAGTTTGGCTTTTGCCTTGGAGTCTCTGAGAGGTTTGTGCAATCATGGCCTCCAATTATCTGCTGTAATAAGTCCCTTGAGAGGCTTTGTCAGTAACAACACTCAGTGGGGCTCATTAATGCTTCAGAGTACTTCAGTTATTTTTGGTACTTGGTGTTTCCATTTTGATAAAGACTCCATTAGATTTTTGTGCAACCATGGCCCCAATTATCTGCTTTAACGAGTCCCTTGAGAGCTCTGTACTGACACTCAGTGGTGCTCATTAATACTTTGAGGTACTCACGGTTTTTAGGGTACTTTGGAATTTCCTTTCTACACTGAGTCTCTCAGAAATTTTTTTGCCATCCTGGTCTCCAATTCTCTCCTCCAAGGAGTCCATGAGGAGCCTGTGTTAGGATGGATCTCAGTGAGACCCATTGGTGCCTTGAGACACTTTGGGGTTTTCCACTGACTTTGACTCCTGGAAAGGTTTGTGCGATCTCCCGTCAGGCCCAGGGTTCCAGGGCTCAGCTCCAAATGCACCACAGGGCTCATTAGGATCAAGCAAGTCCTGACAAACCATGGCTCTGCCTTGATTTCTCTCTGGTCTGGAGCAGTTCATCAGGAAGATTTCCTTTTACAGTTATGGAGAAATATTTCAAGGAGCTTCTGAGAAATATGCAATCCTATCTTAAAGGGTGTCTTTTATTGCTGTTCTTACTATAAAAGAGGTGATTGCATCATCCTTTGATTGATGTTGATCCAGGGTCTCTCCTAAGGAGGTCTGGCCAGGTCAGTGAAGTTGTACCTAGGAGCTGACCCAGTGTGGACAACCTTGCCCCAAATTCCCCAACCCATGAGAGAAATTATTTTTACTTTCAAAAATTTAAATTGTTTATTGAGACCTCATGAAAATACAACAAAAACTGAATAAAGAAAAGGATACAATGCTGGGAGCAAAAATTCAGTCACTGTGTGCTCATCTACAAAATGGATATTCTGTCTTTTACACCTCTAGCCCCTCCCAAAGTCTTGTGAATCGATTCCTTGTTCACTCTCCAGTGGTGGAGATCACTGTCTAACACCTTGATTGGAGGTCAGGTGCTGCAACAGTAAGAAGCTGACCCTCCTAAATGCCCCAACTACTGAGGCCATCCTGTGATAACAATGCAAGGGGGAGGGGAAGGATAACTATACATCTACAAAACTTCTCTTAACATATATATTTAATATTCACCCCTTAACTGTGAAAATCAACCATGGAATTACACATCTATAACAAGCCCCCATTTTCTTTTTCTATAAGTCATTTTGTGCGAACAGTTAGGTAAAAAATTTTCTGTCTCTCTTGAATGAGTCATACCAGCATCTGTTGATGTGGGCAAGGACAGTGGGAACAGCAGAAAAAACCTCAGGTTTTCCTTAGACACACTTATTTGGAATGAACAAAAGGGCATCACAGAGGTCCAGTATGGCTTTGACTCCCATCTACAATGCATATGTGCCTGATACCCATAGTTGGTGTTTCTTAGGGGTGAGTACAGAGGCCAACTCAGTCTTGCCTTCCAATTTCTGTTGAATTAAAAGACAACTGAGGAATGATAGAGGTCTGGTATGGCCTTTTGTCCCTACCTTACCATGCCTATGGGGTTCCTACCCACAGCAGGTCTATGGAGCCTTCTTGGTAGCAAGCAAAGGGGCCAACTTGGTCATGCCCTCCTTCCTTTGTCTTATTTTCTTAAGGAAGCTGTCCCACTGCCTTTGACAGTCCCTTGTGTACTTCTCCTCAACAGATGCTGGTAAATCTCTGCTTGAGAGTCAATCTTGTTTCACCCAGCCTGGATGTTATAGTCCACTCTTTGGGTTCCTCTCCTGGGCCTTTGACTCTGTTGGCATGAGTCCATCCCCGCTCTGCAGTTTGCACGGCTGATTCAGTGGTGAGCAGTACCTGAAAGGGACCTTCCCACTGAGGAGTTAGAGGCTGATCTCTCCATGGCTTAATCATCACCCAATTCCCAGGATTAAGATTATGGATTCTGAAATCCAGGGTGGTAGTTTGAGGAATTGCCCCTCTATATCTTAGCCTTTATAAGGTTTGTGCTATAGACATCACTTATTTCTTGGCATTGGCTTCCCCTTCCTCATAGGTGGCAGCCTTCTGGGGTGAGGTCAGGAAGGGTAACCCAAACATCATTTCATAGGGTGACACCCTCAGATCTGACTGGGGTTGAGTTCTAATTCTTAATAAGGCCAAAGGGAGACATTTTATCCTTGACATTTGGGTTTAAATTATTAGCTTAGCTAGAGCTCTTTTAAGAGTTTGATTCATTTTCTCAACCTGACTGGAACTCTGTGGATGCCATGGAGTGTGTAATTCCCATTTTACTCCTAGGGACTGAACAACTTTCTGCAATATCTTTGATGTGAAATGAGTTCCTCAGTCTGAATCAATCTTGTTTGCCATCCCATATCAGGGAATGATTGATTCTAGAAGTGTTTTACTCACAACATTGGCATTGAATTTCATAGTGGGTACCACCTCTACCCAATGAGTCACGTGATCTACTATCGCTGGCAAAAACTTCCACTGTTGTACCTGGGGAAGCTCAGTAAAGGCTACTTGGATGTTTTGGAAGGGCCATAAGGCTAATTCTTGCTCTCCTCTGGGTGTTTCCCTCATTATTTTTTATTAACTTGTTGACATATCACACACTGTTCAGTTACTTGCTTAGCTATTCTGAAAATTCCTTTGCATCCCAAATCCCTTAAAAATTGATCACTTAGCACTTGGGTACTCCAGTGTGTTGTTCCATGTATGCCTTCTAGCATTTTCCTGGAAAAGGGTTTATTCAATATTTGCTTCCCATCTGCTAATCTCCACTTCCCTTTATCTTTCTTTGCTTCTATTTTGAGAAATTCTTCCTCTTCTGTCCCACTGAATACAGGGACTTTTTGCATTTCTCTCATGGGTGTTAACACTATTATTAGTTTTTCTGTCGCTGATTCAGTGGCATTTTTAGCTTCTAAATTGGCTAAATTGTTCCCTTGCTCCCCTTTTTGATGTCCTTCAACATATACCCCCACTACTTCTCTGGCAATTGGACGGTTTCTAACTCTTCTCAGACAAATTTTTTGTGAATCAGTCCCTTTCCCTTTGAATTTAATAGCCCCCTCCCTTCCCAAATTTTTCCAAATATATGCACTATTCCAAAAGTGCATTTTCAGTCTGTATATATTGTTCCCCTTTTCTATGCTAATATATCCAGAGCTTGTTTTAGGGCATACAACTCAATGCCTGGGCTGACCAGTTGGAAAGTAACTTTATCTTTTCTATGGCTACCAACCCTTCATGCACTATAGCGTACCCTGATAACCTGTGCCCCTTTATTACCTGTGAAGATCCATTGATGTACAATCGTTTTCCACCTTGGAGTGGTTGATCTGTTACGTCCTCTCTTACTCTAGTTTGATAGTTTATAACCTCTAGGCAATTATGTATTAGTGCCTCATCTGGTTCTCCATACAAAAACGGGGCAGGGTTGAGTTGGTTACTCACAATTAGCTCTAAACCATTATCTATTAAGATGGCTTCATACTTTAGCATTTGGGAATCAGTGAGCCATTTGTCAGCCTTTTGGCTCAGGATACTTGTTACTGAGTCTGGGACATATATCTTCAATTTTCCCCCAAAAGGTTAATTTTTTGCTTTCTGCTATGAGTAGGGCAGTCACTGCCACACCTGAATGCAGGTTGGCCACCCCTGGCTGACAGGCTCTAGTAATTATGATACATAGGCCAGTGGCTTCCTGGATCCTCCTCAGTCCTGGGCTAACACTCCATGTGTTACCTCTTTTTCTATATCCACAGACAGATAGAAGGGTTTGTCTAAGGCAAGAAGACTCAGGGCTGGTGCACTAACTAATTTTTGCTTCAAAGCTTCAAACTTTTGTTCATCGTCTTTTTCCCACCTAATCTCTTCAATTAACTTTTCATACAAGAACCAGATGGCCTGCGTGTATCCTCCAATCCATAGCCTACAATATCCCAACAGGCCTAAAAACCTTCTGACTTCTCTCTTAGTTTTTGGTGGGAGTGAGACTATCCCTGTAATTCTCTCAGGGTTCAGCCGCCAGCTCCCTTGGAGCTGGGTATATCACAAATCCTGGGTATATTACTTCTCTTTCTACAAATTCGAGTTTCCCTTTTGATACCTGAAGTCCTTGGCCCCCCAGAAAATTTAACAACATTATGGTGGATTCCCAAACTTCTTTTTCTTCCTGTCCTGAGAAAAGCAAATAATTTACATATTGGATGAACTTTATCTCAGGTTTAATGGAGAAGAGTTGCGTTACTTCTCCTAGCGCTTGACCAAAGAGGTTTGGGGATTCAGAAAACCCTTGGGGTAACCCAGTCCACCGAAGCTGTTGCTTCCTCCCAGAATCAGGGTCCTCCCATTCAAAAGCAAAGACTACCCACTTTTCTCTGCCAGTGGGTATGCCCAAAAAGCATCTTTTAGGTCTATCATGCTAAACCACTGGCATGTTACTTAGGTGTGTATAGGGATTAGGCACTACTGGGTATCAATTCACTGGTTTTTTGTTCACTTCTCTCAAATCTTAGACAAACCTGTAAGTCCCATTTGACTTCTTTACTGGTAATATGGGTGTATTATGGGGGGACATACATGGTTCTAAGGTCCTGTCCTCAAGTAGGTCCTGGATCAGCGGCTGTAGTCCTCGTCTCCCCTCCAGGGAGAGTAGATATTGTCATAGCTGAACTGGATGATGCTCATTAGTTATTTTTATTACTATAGGTTTCATGTTCAATTTACCTCAGTTTTTTGGTTTTGCCCAAACCATCTCTTGAGTTTTCTCCTCATTTTCTTCCGTTAATTGGAGAAGCTTAACTACCATTTTCCCTTTCTCTGGGAGCACTCCAGAGAATGTCAAAATGCACCTGTAAATCCTTTCCTAATAAATTTCACCCTGCTTCTGGAACTAATAGAACATCCCCAATTCATATTTTATTTGTTCCTCCAAACTTTGTTTGCTTTATAACTGAGGCTTTGAAACTTTCCCCTTGTTAATGTTTGAAAAGACAGGTGTCAGCTAATCAAGGCAGGAGCTACCCCTGAAATGGAAAATGTAAACCCCCTCCCTCCAAATTGTTATAATTTTGAAATTGAGGGAGCTCTCAGGCACAGATATGGGAGCAGGAAATAACAGTTCTTTACTAGGGAAGAAAATTAAACAAATAAACAATGCAGTACACTAGAACAACATTGACAGAGTCACAACTCAACCTGACACCCTGTGGGTCAGGATGTTGGTAGCAGTCCAATTAGAAATGTGGCTGCAGTCCTCCTGGAGTGTCAGGTGTGGTTCTGTTGGAGCAGGAGGTCCTGTAGAAAAGGATGTATTCTTCCTCTGAAGATCCAGTGGGAGAAAAGGCAGCTGCTGTTCCTCTGGGGAATCCAGTGGAGAAAGCTGTTCTGGTATTCCAGAATCTCCAGATTATATCTGGGTAGCAATGCTTGGCTCCTCCCTCTGGGCGGAGCATCTCACAGTCAGATATTAGAGTTCTTATCAGTCATGCAGTGACATTCAATAGCCCATTATCAGCAGATGCCCCTCCCAAGGGAGAAGTGATTGTGATCAGTCAGAGAGAGAGATAAGGAAAACTGCCCACTTGACAAGACAACTGCCATACAGATGGTAATAGAATACATCTTGCCTTCAATCTGGAACAACCCCAGAGCCATCAGCCCATCCCTGCTGGTTATGTGATGAGGCCTCCAAATCCCATCTTGGGAGATTTTTGGTTCCTCTCCAAAGTCTGTGAAAATGGAAAAATGTAGTCAAAGGCATTTACTCGCAAATCTTGCAGTGACAGGCTCAATATCTCTAAATTGAATGAGGGTGGATTTACATTTGCTAGAAAGAAGAAATATTTTACAATTATGAGAGTGGCACAAAATGGCAACCGTTTTTCCAGAGAATTGGAAGCCCCATCACAGGAATTGTCCAAGAGCAGGAGCTTTGTGCAGCCTGACCCAAGGGAACCCTCTCATCCCCTTGGACAGAATTCCTGTTTTGTGGTTCTCTGATGTCCTGGGTGCCCCCACAACGCTTCTGGCCAGAATGTCTGCTGAGGGCAGCCAGGCTGCTGCAGGGGCAGTGACCTCATAGCCATCACCATGGCAGCCCTGTCCCCTGGGCCTGGCTCTGCCCTTTCCTCTGCCCCTGCCTTGTCTCTGCTGGCATGAAGAGTTTTGTCATTAATATCTTGTCCCCAAGGTGCTGGGGCCAATGGCTTTCCAGTCAGGCTCCTGGAGCAGAAGTGGCTTTTCAGAGCCCAGCCAGGAATGAGCCCTGAGGCAGCAGCTCTGCAGTGGTGGCCACCAGGCCGGGCTGCCAAGGGAGGCTTCCAGCCATGGCCTGCAAGCAGCTGCTACTGCCAATGTGCCTTTGGTGCCTCAGGCTCTCCCTGGCCCAGCTCCCAGCATAGCACTCTGCCCTTGTGTCCGAGCCCTTC